GATTAAGGCATAAATGCAAAAACAAGTGCTACCAACTGGAATCTCTGAGCAGGTCTATCAGCTAAACAAGTTCTCATTTACACATGTTTTCAGCCACTTACTGATTTCACCACTGGATTCCCCACTAACTAAAATAATTCTAAACTATGAAATACGAAGTTTGATTATAGATAAGATGATGTTTAAAATTAAAGCAGGGTGAACTCTTCACCCCCTTGAAGAAGAGGAAGCAGCATCCAGACTACAGAAAGAGAAACAAGAGCAAGGGTCTAAAACGATTTGAAAAGCTTACAAGATCACTGAGCATAAAAATTTAGTGGGAAAATGGAAGATAGAAAAATGTGATAAAATGAGTCAAAACCAAATTTTCCAATTAATTTATTTAAATTCATTAACGTTGCAAGAATACGATGTGCAACAATACAAGTTACTGTACTCCTAACAAGTGAAAGGAAAATAAAATATTACATCTCCTCAAGAAGTCAAGACCAACTCTAGTATTTCTTACAGGGACCACATTAACATCTTGCACACAGTCATCAGAACTGAATTCCTCACACTGGAAAATGACAGCACTGGGTTAAGCAATATCATCTGAATAGGAGTGAAATGACCACAGTATGGTAGTTGTGTCTAAATGGCAACATGCGATTTATGGTAAGAAAAATGTTTGAAGTTTTGAAATACATATCAAAGTGCGTTAGTGTGGAACAAACTCTGAGTTGTGTTCTGTGTGGGTGGTGCTCCAAGGGCTGTGCAAGTCAGTGGCCCTGAACACCACCAATATTTACCAGCTGGGTTCATGAAAATAAACTGTTTAAGGGGCATAATTTTAGAAGTCCGTATACAAAAACTGCAGTGGAGTAGCTAATATTATTTTCCAAGTTCCTCCTTAGCCACACTGAATGTGAAAATGCATAAAAACTTCAAAATGCAAATGTTTAAACCTCTTGGAGCATGTCTTATAAGATAGAATCAGATAGCAATCTGAAGCAAACAGCTTAATATATTAATTTGGAAGCATTAAACCCTATATTTTCATCTGGTGTTAGATTAGTTATTAAGTGCTTTATGTGAACTTTCCTAGCATTTTCCAAGTAGTTCTCAAAACATACGAAATTAAGTAGATCTATCATATATAGCTGCAACAAAATAATAGTTCCGTTCAAATTTTAGTGCCACTCTTTACTGTTCAACTCATCACCTTATTTTCAGTCACCACTTAGAACTTTAAAGAAAAGTTACGTTACTGGGACTCACCATTGATCTGAGTCTAATTCATTTAGAATCTTGGGACAGGAAAAGGGGGTGAAAGGCTCCCTAGGCAATTTTTCTGGGCTATTAGAACACTGAATAGATAACCTCCCACTTTCCTTTCCAGCTCACTTTCCCATGCAAGTCTAAGTTTCTGACTCACTCTCCCAGCAACTCAAGTTATACATTTCCTGTTCCCTATGACAAGATAAACTCTAACAGAATAGTCAGTCTAACTAATAAGTACATTAATTCCTGTCTATCTCATTCTTCTGAGATTTGTAATCCATTTCTCAAATATCCATACAGGATGGGGAAAAAATAGAATGGGGTAGCAATTAATTAATTATTTCCAGCCTGCCTTCCTCCCTTCTGATTGAGCAATTGCAACGTCAGCAATTTTACACATATAACACGGGAAAAAGAAGCTACTGTCACCTTATCTACGTTACTAATCTCATCAGGAAACTGGCCTGTTCTACCCAATATATCCTAATTACTAGTTTCTCTATCAACTGAAGAAATCTAAAAAGCCACTTCTGTATTAAATCAAACACTCCCAAATTCCCTGAGCACTCCTAAAACAGCCAAATAGTAATGCTGTACAGTCATTTACAAGTCTTCTCGCCAAAAGCAGATTCCTTACCTTTTTAAACTCTGAAATCGCAGTTGAAGAAATTCTAGCTGCCAATATATACTTGTCAATCAGCAAATTTCAGAATTCAGTGCAGTTACCAAATAGTGATGCCCATTTTGGAAGGCTGCTTTAATGTTTACCAACCATGAAATATGAAAAATAACCTGGTCCTAAACTTTAATCCAGCACTGTAATTGCTGACCCTCTCTGTTGAAACTTGCTTCTGTATGAGGGGACAAAGCAGAAGAAAATATCAATTCTCATTCCAGGTATCATCAGCCTTTTCCCCTTTCACTCCTCAGTCTCCTTATTCACAAATTCTGTGTGTCACCTGCAGGCTGTCCTGCTGGATACAAAACTCGTAATGGCAGCTGCCATACACACTACTTCCCTTAACAAGACACATTCAGTGGCATCTTAGGTAACAGCTCTTGACCCCCTCATAGTTTTCCTTCTCTTCCTTGTTTTGTTATCTTCCTTTCCAACTATCCTCCTAGGCCCTACTTAGAATCATTTCTTTATACTCCTCTCCTCAAGTTAAAGACTATTAAGCTTAAACTGTGGGGTCAACATAGTGATTTTCCTCGGTGCTACTGAGGAATATAATCAAGCAGAACACAATCAAACTACTTTATACAAGAAACTTTTGACTTAAAAGAGGCACTCAGAGCCCAACTATAACAAAATAATAGTGACAGAAGCATCAAATTAAACCAGTTAAGTTAGATTCATGACCCCAGCAGAAAGATAAACTAATACAATTATATGTACTTTCGCTTCAATCAGTAATGGAAAATTCAAATTGACTGATACAGGGTAAACGTCACATGGCTACCAATTACAAATAACAAATTTAATAAACACTTTCCCTCAAACCTACCAGTTAGGATCTTAAGTGTTATAGTTATGAAACATTTATTATGGGGCACTTCCCTATACCAGATCCCATTAAAATCTAAGTTAGAGCAGCTATCCTTTTTATCTAGTGATCCACAACACATCCCTTTCATCATATCCCAAGTGTTATCGCTGTTCCTTCTGAGTTTTAATGTTCTAATAGAATACAGGCCACTTCTCCTTAAAACTATTTAGGAAAATGCACCACTTTTGCAACAAGTTGTATCCATAGTTAGGAACAATGCTTGCAAAAGCAAAAGTCAATAAACACCGAAAGCATTGAAACTGAAGAACTGGGTACTTAATGTGGAGGAAAACCACCTATTTAAAAAGCTCAGCGTATTCTGAGTGAGATAAAGACTTATAGACAGAGGAAAGACTCCCTAAAACACTGTACAAACACCGACTCTGATCACAGCTAAATTCCATATGATCCTTTACTCATAATCCTCATATGGTAAATTCAGAAGGAATGCCTACGTTGTTATTGTTAGTTTCCTTTTTCAACACAAAGTGTTTCTATGATTTGAGCAAGCAATGATGGTTTTGGCTTTCTTCACCACAATGACATTAGTTCAGGATTTGCCTACATCTCCTGGATCCAAGTTAAGTCAAGGAGAAGGCCTCATCCTGGGAATCTTCCAGCACCTCCCATAATTGGACTTAGGTTAGCATGCCAAGTTTAAGACTGAGGCGGACAAAAAGTGAAGGAAAATTCTCTTTTGCAATAGAAACTCCATAATAAATGAAAATAGTAAAAGCCACATGTGTGTTCAGTCTAAGACAGAATACTAAAGCTTAGCTCTCATCCACTTCAATTTTGCTACTCCAGGACACTCTTTTGTAAATTACCTTAAAGGAAAGGCTGGAGCATGGTGTGACTGTCCTATCAGGAGGGTCCTAAGTTTACCAAATATATATGAGTCACGCAAATATGCGACAAAATACCAGACCAATTTGTTGTTTTAGGATGATTTTGTGGGTAATTAAGTTCTGTTTTGAGGCCTAAGTAGTATTTATTTCAATGTAGAGTCAAGATACTTACCAAAGTGAACAAGAAAGTTTATATGCTTACATCAAATGTGTCATTCAAGACCATGTAATATAATGATGCTCTAAGTCTTACAAAACAACTTAATTTACAGTACTGTCAACATGATTGAACAGAAAATGTGAAACCATATCTGACTAGGTCAAACACCTACCAAGTTCAAATAACTGATATGAAAGCATTTTAGTAAAGTGCCCACATTGAGAGCAGTTAAAAAAGCAGCTCCTGTTTTCTACAGAAAAGTAGTGACAGTGAATAACTCCTCACATTCTCTGAATACTACACTGCACTCACACAGACTCAGGAGAGTGATACCCTGGACACAGAGCTTATTTCACATTAGTGAACAAACCTAAGATTTTTATAAAGTTCTGACTTTCGGCCAGAAGACAAAATGTCCCACATATACATATATACAAACCCCAATTCTTAGCCTCTTACATTCTCTAGTTCTAAAGATGGCTTTTTGACTTGTCTTTAAGTTTAAAAAGGAAAACGTGTGTAACACACTTGTATTTGCACTTCTGAATTAAGAAACAGAACACATTAAGTGAGAAAAACACTTAGGATGGTACTAATTTACTTAGATTATGTACATGACCTTTGGGTATTCATGAGAACCAGTTTAACTGTCCCTCATCTTAAGGGCAACTTTATTTTCTAAGCTACCCAGGAAACGTATTTAACCATTTACAAAAACAAAAATTCTAACATGCACTTTACAAATTCATGGTCTTATTTACCTGCATACTCTTCCACAAGACAGGTATACATTAAAAAATATTGCTCAAAAACATAAAAATATATATTATCTCTTTCCTTTACCAGTTAGGCATATAAATATTTTACTGAAGAAGATGCATCATTCAATAAACAGATGCAAAAACTGCTTTATATAAAGTGTGGTTCTTTGCTATTTAGTAATATAAAATATAAAATGATTGCAATATAATTAGCTAGTAAAGAGCTAAATTCAAAAGATTCGCAAACCAATACAGCAGTGAACAGTCCCTTATACAAAAGTCCATGAAGAAAATGTCAAGTCAATTTTGTAACAGGTTACATAAAAATCAGGGCCAATAAATGCATTATAAATGCAAAAAAGAGCACTGCTTCATCAGCACATTCTTCAGTCTGGTTTGGACTGGACGCCAAACTTACTGTTCACTTTTCGGTTCATCTTGCTTTCCATTAAGCTCTTGATCAACTCTGTTTAATGAAAAACAATATAGATAATAAGACACGAGCAAGTGAATAATTTTCTTTCTAAAAATAATGACTATTTTTAGCACAGAATATTATTCTGTTAAAAACAAAGCTTTGCAAAGAAGCAGACATAGTAAAAAGGTTACCAAACATTTCCCCAACCAGGAAAGATAATTTTTAAAGGCAAGAGGGCACTGGCAAGAAACATGACTGTCGTTTCTTTAAAGATTATAAAACACGCTACATACAGATGCACACAGGCATACTAAAATGTCAAATTGTAGTATTCTGGCAGGGATCTAAGTGATAAGTGAGATAAGCAGGAAAAACAACTCCCTCAAAAATGATTTTGTTAACTGAAACATTAAAATGCAACTAATGAAACCAACTGATCAATTAATATTGTTAAATTCAGTGATAAAAATGCATATTTATAGAAACCATAATTATTCTCCAAAATTTATTGGTACACTTAAAATACGAATGGCTTTCACTTATTTTAATAGTAAGAAGCCATAGAATTTAATAATCAGAAATATCTAGATGTAGTTTAAAAATCTGACAGGATTAGTAGTGGGTTGCACAGAGATCCTATCAAAATTTAGGCAAGTGGGGATTAAAAGAATTACGTAATCACCACACAACAATTACATACAACTTTTCAAAGATAACGTACAATGGTCTATTACTATTATATTTGTAGCAGTTTCAATTACTGATGGAGGGGAGTTTAAAACAATTTGGTATGATACATGAAGATACTTTTCACACTTGTTTCCATTACTATAATCACTTGAACATTAGTGAATCAGATCTCACAGCCCTGGCCTGTGGTAAAGCCAAGATAAACAACATTTAAAAATATTTTTTATACTGGTATCGAAAATCTGAAAGGTACATATTCTTGATAAGGCATGCAATATACATTCAATCCTTTCAACACGTGAATATCCCTATGAACTAATTTCATAATTACTTTATTTTTAAACTCCGTTCAAACATTTTAACAATCATTATCTGCCTGGCCACTCTTGCACTCAGTTGTTTGAAGGAAACATCTAAAACATTTTAAAAACTGCTGCACTTCCACACTCAGTTTTGTATTCTCCGTATCACCAGTACTCATCACAGAGATTTCACCTTAAGTAAGCTCCCCATATGTCGCCTCTATTAAGTATTGGTTTGAAAAACATGTCCTTCTATTTTTAAAACTTGAATGTTATTTTCAAGCTGACAAGGATTTATTGATTTTTAAGGCTAAAGAAACTTTCTACAAAAACTAAGAAGTGCCTGAAAGATACATGAAATGATTCTAAGGTTAAACAAAAGTAAAAAAAAAAAAGGAAAAAAAAAATCAAGATAAAATAGTAGTGGTAGGTTTCAAACAATAATTTTAAATAAAACTATAGGTCCACTTTTTTTCTAATACCTAAATTACCTAACAGGTAATTAAATATAAGAACTTTGTAAAAAGGCACAATACAGCAAATTACATCAACAAAGGCAATTCATTTTGAAATCCATGAAGTAGCTGGCTTCAAAGTATTCTACAATTACAGATTTTACTTTTAATTTCAGCCAGTGTCTGGAAAATGCACACCAATGCCTAAAAAGGAACGAGAAATCAGCAAGATCTAAAATCACTGTCCATATCTCTATGTTCAAATTAGTTTGTTAAACTGTAAAGTCTCATACAGAAATGCAAAGCAATGATTCCATTGTGCGGTCAACTGAATTCTTGCTCATCAACAGAGCTAAAACATGTTCAAAGTTAAGAATGTTTTCAGTTCCAGTTCCTTTAAATAGGTTCCTTAGAATGGTCAAAATAATTACATATAAATCTCTCACCTTAACTCTAAAGAAAGTAAGATTGTATTAAACTGTTTTGCTAATTTGTCAATATTTTAGAAATCCATTAACAAGTTAAATCCAAATCCTACACTTTTCTAAATTACTATATAAAATGGTAACTATTTTATACCTTTGCCTTTCATCTTCTATGCAAAGATATTAACAGATAATATTTGTTATGCTCAAAGCAGAAGTATTCAAAATTAAATTTAAGATGGAAAGCAGAGTGTTTAACTATTAAATGGTACATTGAAGTTCCAGGTATTTTATCGACATGTAGTATCTGACTGGTTAGCAGGCCATTTAAGCGTACAAGGAAATCAATGTTGGTTAGCCAAAGAATACGTGCATTGTAAATATAACCATCAATCCCAAGGAAATCAATTGATTCCTTAAAAGTACACAAATATTTCAAAAGCAGAAGTCAGAGATTTAAAGAATACGGTGAAACAGATAAAGTCTTAAAAGTAATCGGTCTTTCAAACAGTATTCTTAGTAATTCCTCTGGTTTTACCATTGGTATTTATACCAAATAGGAGAGAGGAGGGGCTGTGGTCTTAATTCCTAATTGGTATTATATATGGTGATAAAACAGGGTGAATTCAAGCCATATTCAGCATCTGGAACTTTGGATTCACTCTGTATTTGGATTCTGTGGTGTGTTTATATTTACAAATGCTATTATCTTTGTCTACAAGCTAACCAACCAATAAGGAAAAGTTAGTCTGTGCAATGCAAATGGACTAGTCTAGATGCAACCAGTCAAGGTGTGCATATACCTTTTTTGTTTCTTTTTTAACTTTTCTTCTTCATACCTTGGTAGGGAAGAGTTATTTCAGTAAATATACATGTTATTAAGATGAACAAAAACAAAAAAAGGCACTAAAAATAAACTCATAAATTTTCAGGCAAACTCAAAAATATTTAACACACTACGTAGAAAGTCAAAACTGACTTAAGAAATCTGACTTTGACACAAACAGACTAAAATCTTAGATTAACAGAACAAAGAAAGTTTTTTCTATATTATAGCACTGTGATACTCAAGTATTTATGTTAATAGCCTTCTACCAAGTCCTTTTAAAGGTTAGATGGAAGTAAGTGAATTTGGTAAAGAGAACAAATTCTAGCACCTGGAAAGTATAAAGGTTAGGCTGATATAAATAATATTTAATATGATTATTCAATGCCATGATGAACTTACTCAAATTTGGAGAGTAGTACGTTCAAGTTTGGAGAATATTCTTTAGTACTGACCAATTGGGAAATCATCTCTTAGATTATAACTAGTCTTTAAAAATATAAATGAATCACAACCAGAAATAATTCCTCCCACTTCTTCAACTGACAACCTGAAGAAAATGGTGACTTATGGGGAAAGTGATGAAAAATGGCTTCTTCCCCTTTTTCTTTGTTACAAAGACAAGAGCACTTACAAAATATTTATAATATATGAAGTGAGAAACGATGAATATTGAAAAATATTTACCTTTTGCATATCAAAATATAAAGATCCAATACAATTAAAGAAATAAAACAAAACATACTGTTTTATGCATTCTGGTATGCCAACATATTCCATGGGGACAAGTTCCGCTAGTTCTGCCAAATTAAAGACGTATCTAATTTTTTGGCTGAATTTTGAGCTACGGAAGAAAATAAAAATAATTATCTCAGTTATTTCTAACCAACAGAACTGACAAGAAATTCACACAAGGAGTTTGTGGGCTTTTTTTGAAGTCAATGGCTCTCAGAACATTACCTAATAAATGGTCTTGTAACAGCCAGAAGTGTTCTGATAAACCAAGAGGGGTGAACAATGATTAGAGATTTTAGATTTTTCCGTAACCTGGAGTTGAAAAAAAAAGAAATAGAATTTAAAAAGCTCTACAAACTCTAATGCCAGAAGAAAAGTTAAGACATCAGTATGTGCAAGTTTATACAAAAAATTAATTGAAAATCCCTCATCCAAGAGTTCTCATTTAGATGTGATGCACATCTAAAGACAAGAAAATGCACTCTTGAATTCTGATGGTCCCTCCTACTGCTATGGAATGACTAAATTTAGATCCACAGTTTAGCCTGTTACTAAATGTCTCCTAGCATACATTCGCTTGTCTTCAGGATTCTGTTAACCTGGGGTAGAGGCCAATAGTGAATACAGAAGTAAACTGTTTTCATTTTTCAGGGTTGGGGGAAACTGGTATGAACTTCTTCAACACCATGAAAGGCACTGTGCAGACAAAAAGGTGGGAGTGGAGATCGCCACAGGAATAGACAACATGAATCAAGTCTAACACATTCTTATGAAGTCTAAAATTTAGATTAAAATTAAAGGCATTAACATAGACAACTTAAAATGACCCTTAAAAACTGGCGTTTTATCATGCATATTTCACATTAAACTGGTATTAGGATTTTTGTTTAAATCACAAGAACTAGCCAATACTATGTTTAGGTATGAAGAGAAATCTATTAATGGGTCTGAGTTGATTAGACTAGTTCACATTAGCTATGGTCAAAGCAAACCAATGGGAGGATCAAAGTTCCTTCCACTGGCATGGATGACTGATTCCTAGGAGAATACACTTCCAGAGCTCATTTCAAAGAAAGGCTACAGCTAAACAAGCATCTTAAGAACATAAAATATGCTAAGCACTATAAAGCAGGCAAAATTCAGAATGTAATAAAATAGGAATTGTACTAAGTTCTTCATCTTTTCCCAAATGTAAATTATAGGAAAATGTTCAATGTGGTATAAAAAAGGAGAAATAAAGAACCATTTTATAAGTTTGTTTTAGGGAATTAAAGTTATTCTTTATAAAACACATCAAAACTGATTTCCTTCATGATATTCTAAAATACTGTCTTGAGAAAATAGAAACTTGTCAGGAAATTAACAAATGTAATTTAGAAAGTGGATACATGATGCCTTTAAATGGCAACAGAAAATAAAATTTTATCTAATAAGGCCATTATAAAAATCATTCAGACTAGCTTTCAACTTGTATTTACAATACCTTCTATCAATTTGCTGATAGCATTTCCTGAGCCATCCCAGACTGGGCATTTTTCTTCGAGTTGTTGCACCATTTAAATAAACTATCATGTAGTTTTCTGCTACTAACAGCTCCAAAGTGCCAATAACATATCTGTAAAAACAAATTAAGTTTAAGCCTTAAAGATTGCTTTGCATAACCAAACTAGGTTATCCAAATTATATACTCCCTTCCCTCTCCTTCAATGAGCAAAAACAATGAAAATTTTAATACTGCATTACTTGGTAGTATGATTAAAGAAAAAAAATTCTTATCTTTTATAAATACATATTGAAATGTTTATAGATGAAATGACATGATGTCTGGGATTTGCTTCAAAGTTATAAAGTGGGGGAGTACAAATTGCGAGAATGAAGTATAAATTGATGATTGGGAGAGTGGGCGATAGTACACAAACATTCAATATATTTCTTTGTATATGTCTGAAATTTCCCACAATAAAGTCTTAAAAAACTGGACTAAGTTGAGAAATAAAATGACTGCGTGGAAATATGGCAGAACTGAGTCAAGCTCAGTTACATTTGGCTTCTGGGGGGTAAATATAATTTAGCCATATGATTTTGAGATAAAAGTCACTTCTTTACACTTAATGTGTCCTCCAATATAAAATAAAGAAGTTAGAACAGATAACCTGAAATATCCTTTCTAGTTTTAAAATGACAATTTTTCTGTCGGGGTGGAAAATGGATAGTTTCATAATACCAAAGAATGAGGACTTAAAGAACCAGAGCTGGGATATTTATAATTTTTACCCAGCCAAAGTTCACTTCCGTAAATTGGGGATCTAATTAACTCAAAATTCTGTGCAAACATTTTTGTGAAGATATGCTTACTTAAAGAGATTGTCCATCAGGTACCTATAGTTAGGTTGACCACTTTCAGGCATAAAACAGACAGCAAACACAACAATGGCATTTAATCCATCCCCATAATATCCTGAAAAAGAAACCAAAGATAAAATCACCAGCATGATTTCACTCTGAAGATTTTTCAGAGGACATCTGTATGGTTGATAGATTATAATGGTTTACCTTTCACAAAATTCTGGATCAAAAAGTATTTTTTTTGTTTTTGTTACTTTATATAGTCTTATATATGTCTTTAAATCTCCTCTTCTCAAAAAGAGAACAATAAAATTTTAAGAGTAAAGGGTAAGCATAAAAACAAGAAGCCCACTTAAAGTAGCATAATCAGAAAGCCAACCTTATTTTAGCAAGTAGACAAATATAGTGAATATAATCCAAGATGAAGAACTACAATAAAATATTTTTATGCATCTTACAGTTAAAATGGGTGCTTTTTAAAAAAGTTTTTACATTCAATGATGCCTAGCATTTTGTAGATTTTAGGGTACTAAAAAAAAGATTACATTCCTGACACAATTCTAAGTGAAGGGAAAACAGTACTAAAATGTGATGTTTCAATTATAAGCTCTAGATATTAAACTGTATTCAGTAACAAGTATTTTTGCTTTAACTTTCATTTCTATTGTTTATAAACATGCACTAAAAGGTCTGAACGTTTGAAAAGAATCTTCACCACCTTTCTTAATCCCTTAAGTCACATAGCACACTGTGATAATTCAACAGGATAAAATGGTCCTAATTATTTTCCCCTAAGAAAAATAAAGAGCTATTTCTGAAAGATATTAGGTTTAAACCATGAGGCAGGTCTCACAACTTGCCTCCTATGTCCTAGCTGAATTAATGTATGTCTATGGACTTCCCGATCCAGATTATTCTGTTTTCTTCATCTGAATAAGATTAAATTAAGCAGAACAACATAACTGCAAATATTCAAGTGATTTGCTTTCAGATGAATGAAGACTATAGAAATAAGCCAGGGAATGCATTTGGCAGAGTAAATTAAGTGGAAATGACTCTATCTGCTTGACATATGTGGCCCTCTGTCCTGTACTAGGAGGATTTCAGGTAATTTGACATGCTCTACAGAATGAGTTGCATTTTGACTACCACTAACATTCTGGCACTATTTACAGAGTGCCCAGGTAAACTTCTATATATGCCACAGTCAGACTGATATAAGTTATAACTGTACTTCACAGCTTTTCCTATTTGACTTGTAAGTTTTTTAAGGGAAGGGACAAAGCCTTATATTTTTGTATATCCCACAAATACGCAAAGTAGGTGCTCCATAAAAATGTAGAATGAACCAGTTCTCTACTTGTGGTAAAGCTATATGATTTTTTCAGGGTTTTAAGGTAAATTAAGAATCATAGTTTAAAAAGCCAGGATTTACTTATATCCACAAAAGACTTGTATGACAATGTTCACGGCAGTTTTAATCATAAAAGCCCAAACTGGAACCAACTCACATGTCCACCAAAAGAAGAATGGACAGGCAAATTACAGTTTATCCATATAATGCAATACCACTCAGCAATAGAAAGGAATAAACTACAGATACATGCAACAACATGGATGAATCCAGAGAAGTAGACGAAAGAGTGTATACCATATGATTCCAGTTACATGAAATTCTAGAAGCGGCAAAACTAATCACCAGTGTAGACATTAGAGTAGTAGTTGCTGGAGAGGGGGTATTCATTGGGAGTATTAAGAGAATTTTCTGGGGCAAATGAAATGTTCCATATGTCTAGGGGTGCAGGTTATATGGGAATATATGACTGCATGGGCATTTGTCAAAACACTTAAGATTAGAGCATTTCTAAGTGAATTAAGTCAGAAGAAACACAAATACTATATGATATCACTTATATGTGGAATTTTAAAAAGCTGAACTCAGAGAAACAGAGACTAGAATGGTGGTTACCAGGGGCTGCGGGGTGGGGAATAAGGAAAGACACTGGTCAAAAAGTACAAACTTGCAAGTTCTGGAGATCTAGTCTAAAGCTTGGTGACTAGAGTTAATAATGTTGTATTATGTACTTGAAAGTTGCTAAGACAGTAGATCTTAAACGTTCTCACCACAAAAAAAGAAACTGTAATTATGTGACGTGATGCAGATGGTAGCTAATGCTATGGTGGTCATCACTTTGCATTATATAATGTACCAGTTCAATATGTTTTACACCTTAAACTTGCACAATGTTATATGTCAATTATATCTCAATAAAGCTGAAAAAAAAATTTGCAAATGCTACCAAAAAAAAGATTATAGCATTTCACTCTATATAAACTCTAAGTGGGTCAACAGGGGAGAAAGTAAAGTCTCAGTGTTGGGGGGGGCCTAGGGACAGGGGTAAGAGGGAGACAGTTTTCACTGCACACTCATGTACCTTTTGAATTTACTGTATGCATATGTTAACTATTTTTGAACGTTGGTTTTATCCTTTTTCTTGAAATCTATTATGTTTCTAAAATGACATGGTAAATTTTATCACGCTTTCAAAATTATGTACCATCTCAAGGGAGTTTAAGCATTTAGATTTCTGATATTGCTTTAAAAAATTGGAATAATCTTTGGTAACTCTTACCTCCATGGCTGATAACTTTTTTGTAAGGTTCAATTGCCTTCATATCAACCCTGTGGTCCTGTTCTCCAATTCTGAACATACGCCAGCGTCGTCCATCTTCTTTTTCCTCTGCTGATGTGTATTCAGTAATTGAGCCTTTCCTAATAACTTCAGTAGTTTTGGGTTTTGGAAGATCATCTGTCAAAATAAAAGGTTTTTGAATCACAAATTGTTATTTGTACAATAAAAATCAAATTACATGTTAACCACTTTACTATCTAATTAGATTGTTCAGAGAATTTTTCATTACACCTTCTGTGGGATTTCAAATATTTCTTCCACAGTATAGGAAAAGGCTTGCTCTTGATATAAGGGCCATTTTGTATTTGGAAATCATGGTTCTTTAAAGTTTTTTGTATTGCCTAATTCAGAAATCACCTAATCACAGTGCAATGTATATCCATAACTTCAGAAAAGATAATTTACAGAGCCATCAAATCTTAGTACATTGGCCCTACAATGCCCTTCCAGATTCTATTTATAACAACATTGTCCTTGACAGTTACCACTATAGGTTACTTAAAGTAACTATCTAGGAGCCAATTGTTTTTTGTTACTGTTGATCACTTAAATTATTCCCCAAACATTATAATACCAGATAGAAAGTGGTTAACTAGTCAATGATTATTTCTCATTTGATCAGTTTTATAAAGCAGAAATGTATTGATAATATTCTGAAGTGTACATGCAAAAGTCTATTTTAAATTAACATTAGCCAAAGCATAAGCACCAATGATTAGGTATAATTTATATTTTAAGATTGCATTTTAGCTGATTTTTAATGAAGTAATGATTTTCAAAATTTTAGTATGATAGTCCTTACCAAAAGATGGGGGGAGGGGGAACCTACTGCATGTTAGTTGTTTGTTTCCAAGACAAAGCTGTTAACGGAAAATATCCTTCCAGGAAATGACTACAGCAGCATTAAAGAAAGAAGAGACAAAACACATAGGCAGAAAACTATTTCAATATCTTTATAAAATACTGCTTATTACTGGACTGCTTATTGAACCAGCAAAACAGGAAAGAAAAAAGGAACAAAAGATACAGTATATCAAGCATCTTACCCTTTACTGCAGATAAGATACCTAGAGCTAAACACTGCTTTGAAGTAAAAATCATTTTAAAGATGGAATATAAATAAACTATTAACAACTATGTAAAGATACTGCAGATAGTAATATCTAATTAAAGAAAGCAGGCAGAACTTCGGATTCTAAATAACTAATGATAAGAAATACAAGGTTTGGGGGCCAGAGTATACATTCACTCATGTTGGCTGTTTACAAAGTGCAGCACCCTCAGGCAAACCTATTTAAAAGATCACCCTCAAAAAACTCCCTCTAGAAGTTCCTCTCTGCAGACTCAACTACTTTTAGCACATTCCCTAAATTATGTCTCTTCAAAGTTCTTTTTCTTAGCTGATCAACTAAATAAAAGTACATGCCATAATTATTAAGCAATATTTTGGGAGCAACATGAAAAGACCATACCTTCACAGCACTGAGAAATTAAGAAAAAAAAATAAAGCCACCTATGTAATCTACTATACATGGTTTTGAAAGCCATGAGAATATTCAGTGTTAGCAGAATGTCGTATCTTAGTAATCAATATATGAACTTTAGAAAGAATATCATATTTCAACAAAACCCCTTAAGCATTGATGCCAGTTGGTTTCATGATCCAGTTTTAAGTTTTTCCAGTTCTCCTAATATGAGAATGCCATTGTAAAAACATGTATGTATATAAAGACAACCATTCATTAAAGGTCAGATGAAAACAATCAAACACTTACCTTCCCACTCAAATTCATTACTGTTCTCTGACGGTGTGTCTAAGTCATCTAAGTCAATCTCCCCACTTTCATCCAAATCATCGGACAACACAGAGCCATCACTAGGATCCAGGGTCAGGCTAATGTCTGGGGCCATTAGTTTCTTTCTTACTTTATTTCCATTAACTTCTAGTGAGCCTGGAATGGATAACCAAAGTGAAAGATATTAGAAGGAATGCTTAGATGTTCAAACTGAACAAGAGAAAAATTTTAACCACTTCATTCTTGGGAAAAATAACATTAATTGAATACAATCCCAAAGCACCAATGATCACTATTGCTTCTACATCATGGCAAGATGACATTTCCCAGCAAGGATACATCTTCTTAAATAAGAGAGGCAGACTTTATAGCCACTTCTTACTACTAAAAATGATTTCCTCTCATCCCTTTATCGTAGAAATTTACAAAAACCAAGGGTATGTTTTTGGAAAGTTAAACTTCCAAAGCATTCCAAAAATGCTTTCCTAAACACTCAATTTATCCTTTGACTCCCTATGATGAAACAAAAACTGAGCATATTTTTTTCCTTGACAAAGAAACGTGTTCAAAAACAACACAAAATCTATCATTTCACTGAAAGTAAAGGTGTCAAGTTCTTACCAGGCTGGCTCTCTGGTCCAGTTACAGCTAATATATCTGCTTCAATAGTATCATCTTCTGGTAAAGGTCTAGAAGACACAGACATAATTTTTAACCCAGAAATTAAAAAAAATTTTTTTCAAGTTCAAAGATCTATTAAAAATAACTTATAGAAACAATGATGAGGAAAACTGAATAAAGCAGTGTTTCTTAAGTTTTAGCAATTTACAAACCACTTTTAAAGAAAAAATTTTCAGACTGTCAGAATTGACTTACATATTTATATAAGCAACACATAAAAGTAGATATAAACTCCTTACGTAACTGCTCTTAAATACAACTATAAAATGTAAAAAGTATAAACAACCTACAAAACAAATATAATTGCTTATATGACTTTAATGTGATGTATGACACAATGTATGATGAAGCTAAATTGTTACTCACAATGGGACTATGGTAACGATGACTACAATTCTTTTGAGCTCAGCATTTCTATATTACTACTATCAACATGTGCTATGTAATGACTCATTACTCCCACCAGCTGTTCGTATTCCAACTGCTAAGGGATCTTCCTGTGTACTGAGATGGTCTTCTGACCATGATGGCATGGCAGCATCATTTAAATATAAGGTCTGCCTTTGCTCTTTCTCTCTTAACTCGACTGCTGCCAATACAATTGTAAATACAAATGCAAACGTGTCAAGGTAGCTGGCCACATGATATAGAAAATTCTTGCTTATTTAATAAGTCGTTTTTTAAAAGCAGGAAATTTAACAATTCTTATAAAGACTCCCTTCTCCCAGGAACCCTTCACATTCTAGTTTAAAAAATACGACATAAAAGCATTGTTTATAACAGCAAAGTTTTGAAACTTAAATGTTCAAAACAAAAATGAAAGAAAGATTATAGAAGAACACACATATATTTGGTTGGAAAGTAAAATACAAGAGAATTAGTCTAACTGTTGGAAAAGAACTTCCATTTCCTAGTATCAAATGAACACCTTGCAATACTGGGTTTTTTTAAGAAGCCAAATAATCATTTGATAAATGATATCTCAACAAAGGAATTTTGAAATTTTGTTTTCATTTAAAAGCATTGCTCACATTGGAAAATCTTCATCTTGCCATTCCTCCTTAAGTTCCACACCTTCCATTCTCAGCTTGGATTCAATGTCAACTACAAACTCCTGGGAATCCAGAGAGCCAATGTCCTGTGAAAAGAGAAAAATTTATACCCACTTATTTTCCACCTTACTTTTTATCTGCTGAAAAGGAGCAATAATGTTATACCTTCGTTCACACCTCTACCTTGGACATGAAATCAATTTACTGAGTTGCAACTACCATTTTTTTTTTTAAAGAATTAAAATAGAAAATAGAGTACAAATTCTAGTAAAGTAAGTACTATTTGCTGTAAGGTTATTGTGCAGTGAAAATATCTGTTTCAGTTGCATATATGCATGTGTGTCCCAGGTTGTGATTTAAAATTTATTAGGTATTGTGAATCATATAAAAACAATTAGGGGGGTGCAGCCAGGTGGCGTAATGGTTAAGTTTGCATGCTCCACTTCGGTGGCCTGGGGTTCACAGGTTCAGATCCTCGGCACGGACCTGCAGCACTCATCAAGCCATGCTGTGGCAGCAACTCACATACAAAAATACAGGAAGATTGGCACAGATGTTAGCTCAGAGCCAATCTTCCTCACCGAAAAAACAAACAAAAAAACAATTAGGGCACAAGGAATAAAAGTAAATAAATATATTCTCTACTCTAGATCCATAATTAAATTATCTGTCCTCTGGATAGATGTTGATTCTAGAAACTGAACACTAGAAAACAATACCTTTACACTCTCACGATTCAGCAGAGGCAAGTGGTGTACTGTCTTTTATACTCCCTTCTGTATAGTTTCAAAGCCATAATTCCTGAGCCACTTGAAGAAGGCTATTTAGTAACTGTCCAATAAAATAATTATGCTAAATTTTGATTTGCTTCATATCTATACCAAGCTTTTCTCATATAGTTCAACATAAGTGTTCAGACACAGAACTTAGAGATTATTTCTATTCATGCAACTACATGTTTTAGGCTATAAATTTTAGTTTTAGTTTTTCCAAGGAAGGGTGTGGTTGCCAATATCCTCATTTTACAAAATGAGGAATCTAGAGGTTGGTTTGGTTGATGGAATAAGAAACAGAGGTTTGGGAACGGCTCTGCGGCCGAGTGGTAAGTTCTCGCGCTCTGCTTTGGTGGCCCAGGGTTTTGCCGGTTGGAATCCTGGGTGCAGACATAGCACCGCTCGTCAGGCCAGGCTGAGGCGGTGTCCCCCATGCCACAACTAGAAGGACCCACAACTGAAAATATACAACTATGTACCAAGGGGCTTTAGGAGAAAAAGGAAAAATAAAATCTTTAAAAAAAAAACACCTATTTAAAAAAAAAAGAAAGAGAGGCTTAAGTATATTATTTAAGAAGCCATGAAGATGAACTGGTTAATAGTGCAATAAAAACTGTGACAACTTTAGGGGGCAAGAGGTACAAATGAGAATTTAGTTCACCTACATTAGAGTAAGTCAATAGATGACTAAAGTTATTTTTTTTAAAAGAGGTAAGATATATATTTCTTAAGAGATAGAAAGTATCACTAGATATCACCAGAAGTATTAAAAATAAAGTTAAAAGTGGTTGACACCAGTGGAAGAAGAAAGAGGGTGGGATGGGGACCCTGATGCTTTTCATAGTAAATCCTTCTAACTTATCTGACTTTTAAAACCATGTATGTATAACTTTAAAAATATTTATCAAATAAAACAAATGGTGCCAGCCATTCATTCACTTCAATTAGTCTCCTAAAACAAAGACGTGGTCATATTTTATGGTTGTCTTATCTGCTACGTTATTACAACACTCAAAAGATGCACAAAGTTGTACAAAAAACACATTATGTTCCAGAACAGAAACAACAACAAAACTACATTAAATCTTCTAAAGCGTTAGATTTCATATGGTAAACTAAATTCCTATCTCCACCAAGACTGGGAGGCGCTCTTGCCACTGTGAATTCTTACTTACGCTCAAGGGAAGGCTTCAAACATTCTCGAAAGGTTTAAATTTTTGAGGACCCACTTGCAATCACAGAAGCACACGGCAAATGCTGTCTTTTCCTTACCAACATATTTGCTTGGAAAGTCAGTTAATTTATATATATGAGCAAGGCACTTTTAATTTTCTGGGAAAACACTGAGCCAGGCAATTTTGAGAAATTAACGGAAAACACTTAAAATACAATAATCTTGACTTTAGTACCTTCTCTGTTTTTAACACATAGCCTACATTTTAAAGTAATTAACACACACCCTCAATGATGACTTCACAGATTGTTCCCTGACAGCAACCAGTCTTCTCTATAACCAAACAATCTCTTCTATTTAGAACATAGAACTAGAAAAGACCCCAAAATTATGGCCAACAAGTCTCAGATACTTAATACTTCTTACTCTAGAATTAATGCTCAAGTGAGACTGAAGCATTCTATTACTAAATGTTGAAAACTGACAGTCTCTTCCAAATTTTTGATTCACTATACTTCTCAATGTTTTCTCAAGTCTCTGATACTCACTCTAAAGTGAACTAATATATTTTCCTAAATTCAATAATCAGAAAAGCTTTCCATTATTTTGTCTCACCTTTTCACTGGGTGTTGGAAAAATAGGAGTTCTGGGTGTCTTTTTCAAATATCCCACAGACTCAGAAAAATATTTCAAAAATAAAAGCAGTGACTACAAATTGCTCCCATTATATTTCCAACACCTAGCAGTGCCTGGCACACAACAGCCCTTAAATATTAGTTAAATGAATAAATATTTAATTGAAAGGTATAACCCTGGATAGCAAGCCTTTGTTTTGCTCAATCTCTTAGGCTTATTTTTCTTATTAAATTACTTAAATAGACTTCCTGTTATGTGTTACCCCTCAAAAAGTATAACGAAAATATTTGGGGCAACCTACATACATGCAACATCAATTTCTGTTGGTAAAATTATTCCTTGTTTCTAAGAGAAAATATCTATCTTATGAAATTCTAGAAAACAAACTATGTCTTTTAGCTGCTTTAACACTTGAACAAGCCTGTCACTCGAAAATAGCTCCTCTAAACAGAGAGAGCTCAAGTCCTTCAGCCCTCTCAGCCGGTTCACTCAATTTTTACTTGACTATCATGTTGTAAGTACACTAGGTAGATAAAAAGTTTAAACAATTGAGAGAGTACTGTTCTTGGAAGCACTTTATCATCAGCAGCTGTAAGAACAGGAAACGAACAAGAAAGAGCAATATAAGCACAACCACTTTGAAGGAAATCAGGATATTGCTGACTTACAAGTTAACGGTGGTTGTTTCCCATTTTTTGTTCATAGATTTGGTAAATAGAATGGGGAAACAACACTTTAACATGCTATTTGTTAAAACAACCTAATGCAACAGGAATAACCTGATTTCTCAATAGACTTGTGGTAGTGGTGGCATATCATTATTTATGCCAATTATCAGTGGAGGTCATAGAGATAAACTCAAAACAGCTGCTGACCTCAGTGAGGGTGAAAATCAAGGAGATAATGGATTTCCTCCTGACACATCTTCAGAAGGGAGGTGTGGTGGTAAATTCAACCAAGATAAAGAAGGAGATTTCCCTATGCAGCTTAGCAATATAAGCAAAAATTAAATATTAAGATCACATTTAGAACCGTCTGAATTATAACTCATAATTTTACATGGCAACTTTGCCATTATGTAGTTTAACAATGCCACTGGAATAGGTGCACTTAGTAACCACCATCTATGCTGAAATCAATTACAGTTGGCTGAAGGAAATGCCCGGGCAAGCCTTTCACTTCCCTATTTAAAAGAAAGGACTTCATTCTAAATATTTGTGTTCACTTTTTCCTATGAGGTTGGCAACATTGGTCGCGCTACAGGAAAATAATTTAGGCCTATGTGTCTATGAAGAAAAATCCTGTATGAAAAACATAACTACAGAAAACCTACAGAAAAATCCTATAGGCTTGCTTCCCTGAGAGCATCTGTTAGAATGGCTATTATCAACAAGACAAGAAATAAGTGCTAGCAAAGATGTGGAGAAAAGGGAACCCTCATGCACTGTTGGTGGGAATGTAAAGTGGTGCAGCCACAGTGGAAAACAGTAGGGAGGGTCCTCAAAAAACTAAAAATAGAACTACCATATGAATTCCACTTCTGGGTATTTATCTTAAGGAAGTGAAATCACTATCTTAAAAAGAGATATGCAACCCCATGTTCACTGCAGCACTATTCACAACAGCCAAGATATGGAAGCAACCTAAGCATCCTTTGATGGGTGAACAGATAAAGAAAATGTGATACACACACACAAACATACACATGAATATTATTCAGCCATAAAAAAGAATGATATCTTGCCATTTGTGACAACATGGATGGACCTTGAGGGCATCATGCTAAGTGAAATAAGTCAGACAGAGAAAGGCAAATACCATATAATCTCTCTCATATGTGGAATCAAAAAAAAAGAAAGAAAGAAAGAAAGAAAGAAAGCTGATAGATAACAGAAAACAGACTGGTAGTTGCCAGAGGTGCAGGGTGGGTGAAATGGGTGCAGGGGATCAAAATGTATAAACTTCCAGTTATAAAATAAATAAGTCATGGGGATGTAATGTACAGCATGGTGAGTACAGTTAAGAATATGTATTATATATATGAAAGTTGCTAAGAGAGTAAACCTTAAAAGTTCTCCTCACAAAAAAATTTATAACTATGTGTGATGGATGTTAAGTAGACTTACTGTGGTGATCACTTTGCAATATTGCATCAGTAGGTTGTATATCTGAAACTAATACGTTATATGTCAATTACGTACAAAAATTACAGTGATGCCAACTTTTCTCAAAATTGTGAAAATAAAGCAAAGGATAATCATGCCACTTATAAAAGGTACATTTATTAAATTATCAGTATGCAGAACATGCTGGAGACGCTCTGAGATCTTTGAAAATGTTGAAGTCTAATAATTGACCTCTAACACTTTGTTATAGAGTTACAAATATTAGTTGTAATATAAAATTATAATTTTGGAATAATACTATCATATTATACTAGTATTGCTTTATAGGATGTAAGCTAAAAAGACATCTTTCAATTCACTGTCAGCCAAGGTTAATTTATTGGACCTGGCTATATACACTTCCTTTCTTAGAAGCCTTCCTCCATCGCTGCTCCTCCTACCAGCACTATTCCAGGTGGAATGAACAGAACCATTTCCCCAAAGAGTGCTTTTCACATTTACCAGCCACTTGTATATTCATCATCTCGTATGTTCCAACCAACAATTATGTGAAGTATAAAACACTAGTGTTATTATCCCCATTTTATCTTATATACGAGGCAAATGACACTATATCCTGGTTAGACCTGATTAGACCTAGACTGTTTCTGATATAGCATACTGTCCCCAGTTCGCTGGCAACTTTATACAGAATAAACTTGTAATGCCAGATTTGGTTACTTACCTTCAAAGGTCCTGTAATGCCTAAAGATTATAACAGTACTGACTTATGGTGATGTACTTCAAGTTCCATGTTTGCAGAAGTGGATCTGTCATACTTCCTGTCTAAGCCCAACAATATTAGGCTGCAACAGAGGAGACCATGAAGACTAAAAATAGAGTTCAGAGAAAATGTAAAAAGACAAGAACTAAGAAGATGTGCAAGATCATCAAAAAAATGGTCTGCAGGGTAACTAAACCAGGTAACTTCAGTTATAATTTTGAGGAAACATCCATTTACAAATTGCAAAATTCTTCTCAAATTTTTTTAAAAGAATACGTTTAATTAAAAAAAAAAGTTAATTGATTAAGCATTAGGAGAAACAGAGATCCTAACCAAAGAAGGTGAGGATGAAAAAAACCACTAAAATGCAATCACACCCTTCACTCAACCAACTACATGGAAGGCACTATGACTACCTGCATGAACACGACAAAAGCTGTGCTCTCAATGAGCTCCCGGAACAGGCACACAAGGGAAGTTTAAAGCAAGGCAACAGACCCAAATAAATGTCTGATTTAACATGAGTTGATCTAGTACATCTCCGGTGGCATCGGATGCATCCAGGAGACCCAAACCATTTAAGCAAAAGGTAGTGTCTGAATCCACCCAAGGAACTCGGCTTTTCACGTACGAAGGTCTATGAAAGCTCTGATTACAAACGCCGCTTCCGTGTCTGTTCCCAGAGGGTACGAAGCACATCAGACGTCCAAGTTTCTTTGTTCTGCACCAGGACGGACGCTGGTCATAAATACCGGACCAGCGTGGCCCAGTCTGCGCGCCCAGACCGGGGTGTGTGCAGGAGGGCCGAGAAGGGGGAGCAGGTTCCATCCCGAGCACGACCACCACAAACGGAAAAGGGGGTGGGAGTGGGGGCAAGGATGGCAACTGCAAACAGGAGCCGAGCCAAGGGCGGGGGCCTGAGCTGGGCGGGGATCCGGGAAGCGCGTCCCGGGCAGGTTCTTTGGCGCCCCCTACAACAGAGAGCCCTCTGGGCTGCCTCTGTCGGGCCGTCCGGGGGCACGCGCCCGTCAGACGTCCTCCCCCAGGCCTGTTCCCAGCCGGGACCCGCCGTGCCCAATCTTCCCGGGCCGCACTCACCCCGGAGGAAGCCTTGGCTCCCTCGTCTTCTTCGCCCCTCCAGGCCGGCGACGTGGGGCTGACGGCCAGGTCGTAGAAGGTAGTGCCGAGCGGAGCCCGCTCCCCTCGGACGGCGGTGGAGACCCGGGCCCAGTTTCCCGGCCACAGCAGCAGCGGCAGCAAGAGCGGTACCGGCAGCGGCAGCAGCTGACCCGGATGCAGAGAGCTGCCCCAGCGGAAGTGACCACATCCCGACCTTCTCCGGGCGCGGCAGACGGCAGAGGCGTGGCGTCTTCTTGAAACCCCAAAGTCCCTCTCCCCGCCCCCTCGGCCGCCGCAGACTGACGCTCGCGCATGCGCCCGCACCGCCGCCCTGCGTTCCCGCTGGGCGGGCGTGGCGCGATGGCTTCTGGGCGGTGCCTCTGAGGGTGCAGGTGTATTTTTGTGTGTGTCCTGGGACTTGGTCTTCGAGTCTCAAAGAGCCATTTTTATATTCTTTATGTTAGCTGTATTGATCATTACAATAATCATATGTTATAAAGTGGATGAAAGTAGGGGAGGAAAAATATCCGAGGCCTCATTTGGGGGAACGAAACCTCAGAAGAATCCTTAGAGTTTGGTAAAATGCTCGAGTGAACAGCTTTACTCTACAACAGTGCTTCTCAAATTATATGTAGGGAATGATCAAATTATTTTTTTAAATTTCCAGTTAGTTGTGAACCATGCTTTGGTAAGGGAAAGTAAAAATATTGGAAATATTTTATCATTGGAGTCAACCGCCGTAAAATGACCCGTAAAGGTTTCGAAACGTTCGTTCTCAATTTCCGTGTTTGTTTCGTGGACCAGTAACAAACAGTAATACGAAGGGCCCAGGTCTGTGGATCACACTTTTGAATAGCAAGACTGCTCTACAGCTTGAAGGAAATAAGATTACTTTGGAGAACATCATAATCCCTCCAGGAAATCAGCCCAGCAGTCAACTATTTGGGTAATGCATTAGGGAATGATGGGGCTTGAGGGGGAACGCAAAAGCTCAAAAATTTAAATCATTGACCCAAAGTGCAGCTGCCAGGTTTACGTTGCTTTGGCAACATTTACTCACTGTTGGGGGCGGCGCCCGAGGGGAGGGTGGCGTTTAAACTCTCTGTATCTCATCTATAAAATGGGAAAAAATAATACATGCTTCGTAGGGTTTTTTGAGATAGTCATGTATGTATTAGAACAGCGCTTGGCATATTGTAATCATATGGAGTTGTTAGGTATTATTATTTTTCCTCCTATTCTAGCAATTTAAAAAATAACTGGTAGAGAAAACAAACACAGCTGACCAGTAGAGCCTTAGCTGAACAACTTCTTGGGCCATGCTTCTGTAAGCAATTTCATGTTCAGTTACGGGTTTTTCATGGTTCCGTATTTTGCTTGTTTCAGTCCTGCAATGAGTAATATTCCCCACAGGGTGGCAGAAAATCATTTGAAATCATAGGCAATTGTGTGATTTTTGCAATCTTTAGTTTCTGTTTCATTTCACTAACTTTATTGTTTGGTAAGCTTGTTCAATGTTTGCTTTGGTTTTGAGTAAGCCATTTAGTATTTGTCTTTTTATCTCCGTCTCGTGAGTTGTCCATACTTACCGTGAAACATTAGAAACTACAGATAAGGCAAAAAAAGATAATCACTTAGTACCTTTGTGTATATCTTTTCAGATTTTTTACACATATAACTATATAAATAGCACATAAATGTTTTTTATAAAAATGAATGTAACTAATAGTTTATAACTTTTTTCTTTTAATTTAAAATATATCATGAACTCCTCAGGTCAATAAGTTTATTTTAACAATCATTTTTATTATAAATAATTTATGTACTATTAGCTCCTTATTGAACTGTTAGGTTGCCCCATTTTTTTTTGATAGTTAAAAACAACACTTCCTAGAGTATCCAAAAAGACAGAAACATAGGACTGACTTATTTTCAAATGATATACTAATTACACAGTAAAATAATACACTCAGTATATTTTTAGGTGAAATACCTCTAATCAATGAGTCTAATTGTTAATCTGAAAAAAATATAAAAAAGACACTATTTTCCCTGTGTTTCTAGACTTTTCTGATAATCTTTAGTGTATTTTTGCAATTATTTGTTTTTTCTATGTGCCTTTTTGAATAGGCGAATATTTAGTCTCTTAAAAATTGTAAAATAATTCAGAGGGAAAGAAAGTGTGGCTTCCAGACCCTAAGTAGAAGGTATCATTTAGAAAGTGATACATTAGCTCAAAGCCACCATCAGTCTGTTCCTTTGTCGTTTCTGGCTTTGGTGTTATGTGTAAATAGGCCCGCCTCACCCCAGCATTGTACAAGTAGTCATAGTTGTTTATAGTTTCCTCTTTAAAAAGTATGAACATTAAATCTAATCGGAATTTTGTCTATATGCTTATGATATCAGGTAGGGAATCTGATTTTGCTAAACTGACAAAATAGTTTGCCTAACATTATTTATTGAATAATCCAGAAATTCTTGAACTCAACTAGGACCGAATCAAATGAATCTTTACCTTCAAAGTTGTCATCCTGGGTTACTCACTTTGTTCAACTATCCATTTACAAACCTTTTGACAAACCTTTGTATCAGTTCACAAACCATCCTTGGACAACTCTTTATTGAACAGCATTGTGAGTCAATAGCGTTGGGCCCTGAGGGTACAGATAAAAATGACACAGTATATACCTTCAAGGAGCTCACAGACTAGTCAGGGAGAGGGGCAAAGACAGTCAATAATTTGGTGAATTTCCTTCCAAGGTGCAGCTAAATAGAAGGGAGCTCAACAGATTGGAGGGTGGGAGGCGGAGTCAGTAAAGGGAGACTTTCTGAAGGAGGTGATCTCAAGCTTAATAATAAGAGAAAGATCTTCCAAGCAGAGGGAAGGGCATACGCAAATACACAGAGGCTTCTAGGAGCTGCACATTGCTCATCGTGACCGGGTGAAAGCAGTGGGAACATGAGTGAGTGTGAGTGGCCAATAACAAGAATAGGTAGTCAAAGACCAGATTAAAAAGGGAACTTTTAAATGCTAGGAATTTGTTAAGAGCCAATATAACGAGCAACATGGAAAAGCCATCAATTATTACTTTATAGTTGCACTCCAAAAGAAGACTTCGAAACATGGCCTGCACAATGACTGTATTATTAGGATGATTCCTAAGAGAACAGCTCTGAGAGGGACAACACTCATTTGAATATGTACTTTGCTATGTGTGTTAAAATTATTCATATTACTTCATCATACTTCATACATCAAAATAAAAGCCAAAAACACTCCAAGAGGTGTTGAGTCTGTACTTGCTCCCCACCCCTACTCCAACCTTGGACTAGAAGTAAGATGGGAGATGCTAAGACATTTGAGACAATACTAAGAAAATGTGTAAGTTCAAATTTCAGAAGGCATAATGTACATTAAACAAAACTCTTGAATGCTGCTTCACTCTTCACTGTATAATTTTATAGACAGATTGTTATTCTCGCTAATGAGCATATAAATTCAGTGATGTTTGGCAGCTCACTCATGATGTTTGAAAAAATAAGTATCCTTTTTACATGGGCTGAAGATGTCTTTGCTGGTTAAGCTTGAGGGTAAAACTGGATACAATTATATATTCATTTAATTATTCATAACTTCAGTCTGAAATGAATGTGTATATATTTTTCACTTATTCACTTTATAAAATTCAAAACTAAACCTAGCAGCAGCTTTATCTTTGACTTGGTGACAAGTTTCTTTTCTACAATGAACCAGTAAAAGAAATTGTTCCAGACAGAATTTGTGCTTCCCTATTTCAGAAAATCCAACTGGACTGCACATATATATATATATATCACACATCACCGTTGCGTGATGCTTCCACATTCCACCGAGTACACAGAGGAAAGCAGCAGCACACATGTCTAGGAAATGTTTCCATATGCAGGGTTAGATTATGGCCATTCAAGAGGAAAACTAGGCTTATTTGCCAGAGAGCTTTAGTCAACAGGACTTTAAGGATTCAATTCATTCAGGGAAGTAGGTTATGGGTTGAAGTCATGTGAGAGCAAGAGTTCAGATCTGCACATAGTCATTTTTGTGGAGAGGGAGAAGATGTGCATTTTCTTCAGTAGAAGTTAGGAACGACTAGTATTACTTTAGATTGCTCATCCAAACTAAGTGTGAGCAAATCTTAGCATCCATATTTCAAGTTCTGTGTGATGTTTCTGCAATGTCATAAAAGAAATGGCAAATATGAGTTTAAAACTGAGGGTGTACATTTTATAATGGAAAAGGATAAAATTTGGCAAAATCATAGCAACCAATAGATTGGAGATCATGGTTTCATTTGGAAAAAAGATGATGGACAGAGACCCATCTACCCTGAATAGGGGTCATTACAAAAAATCACTGCACTTATAATTAATGCTCTTGCAAAAGTAGCAGACATAGTATCATCATGCTTGGTTTATTACTGAAATCAAGATTAATTTTGAAGAGGGGAGTAAATTTCACTCTTTCTTCTCTCCTTTAATATATGAAATGTTAGTAGCAGTATGACCATCTATATTTAAAAATATACCAATAAGTAATGGCTTCCAACTAGAAAAAAATGAGTTTGATTGATTGATTGATTGATGATGATGATTTTTACCAGTGATAATGCTTTTTTCATTCTTTCCGGGCTGGGTAAATAAAAATGAGAATTGATCAGCTAAGGCGAACTGTTCTGAGGTCAATTATAGTCCCTGCATCCAGATTAACCCTGAATTAGATATAACACTGTCTTTCACCAAAGCATTAATCGTTTATTCTGCATCTTTAGAATCAAAGTACAATCTTACTTGCTTCAAGAAAACAAGTACACTTCAAAATGCATGAACAATTGTTGGCTCAACTTGGAGTTTCATTCTATTTAACAAAAAGTGCTATGTAAGGCAAACACATTTTAATTTAGTACAAATATAAAAATTAAGAGGTAATATCATCTAATTCACTATTGCAATCGGCCAAATGTTCAACAAATATAATTCCAAAAATACTTTACCTCCCAAAAGTAACTACCTCAACTGAGAGAATCTAGATGATTATATTCTAAAATACCTATTATATTTTTAAAATACCTATTACTGTAAATAGGTAAAATGTACTAACAACTCTTTTTAATAAATTTCAGTACAATTGAGTAGAAAAAATTAGTCGAAAATATTAATATTGTAACATTTTTTCATTTACATCGTTCCCTTAAGATACTTAAAGACAATACTTCTAATATAATTGTTAGATTATACTTACTAATAAAAAGAACACTTTCCGGTTTTAGGTATTTATGTAATGGGGAGAGATGAAATGACAGAAGTTTAGCATGAACTATCATCTTTAAAAGACACAATCTCTAAAATTCTAGATTTTTTAAAAAATGGAGTACTAATTCTTCAGCAGGTCACCCATTAATATGAGGAACTTTACATATATTTATTATAAATATATATAGTTTGTATTATATATATGTATGTAATATATATATAAATGTGAGCTACTATTCCATCTGACAATGACCTTACCTAGGCACTATTTACAAAAATTGAATCTAATATGCCTTGTATATAGTTTGGAATATGAGAGAGTGTGGGGGCAAATTTGAATCAATAAGATAACTAATGCCTGAAATTACATTATTAGTTTTTCCTTAATTAGCTTATAACACTGATTCATGTTAAAATGCAATTATTTTTCATAGAAGAGTTTAACATATGAAACTTATGCTGAAATGGAAGGTGGGGTCTGGATTAGAATTAGGAGAGCCATTCTGGTCCTTATTCTGCTACAGTCTCTGTGACCTTGGGCAAGTGTCCTATCTTCCCGAGACCTTCAGTTTCCCAGTCAGTAATTTATGAGGTATCAAAGATTTATTTTACCTAATTTAGCATTTTGCCTAAAGCTGGGCTTCTCATTTTTTTAAATTT